TCTCTTCTCTTCTCTTCTCTTCTCTTCTCTTCTCTTCTCTTCTCTTCTCTTCTCTTCTCTTCTCTTCTCTTCCTAATCTCGCTAATCAAGAATTAAAATGAGTAAGGGAAACCTCAGTCAACTAAGCTTGGGTTTCATGAAAATGATCTACTTTTTATTAAACTTATAATTTCAGTGTTAGAAAAATTGTATCTTTGTGAAATTCTATGGCTCAGATTACCAGAATAAAGTAGGCTTGGTTACTGGATGCCTAAGTGTAAAACATTTTGGGCTGGCTCTGATCTAGACTTAGGAGATCAGTGGTTGCACATTAAAGTACAAAATATATCTTCCACAGATTGAATTGAAGGAAAATGGTGCAATATTCCAAAAAAAACAAACAAACCTGGAATAACTTTATTTAAAAACGTATTTGAATGAAAACTAAATATACAATCTGTGGATTAGAGCCGACAAAAATAGATATGCTAGGACCAACACAGATTTTACAGTTATTACACAGATAGTGACACTGACATAGCTCAGTTTAGACTTTTCTTAGGGGTATAGGGCAGAATTATAAAAAATATATTACACATAAAAATGTTCAAGATAGTATGAATTTCAGGCTTTATTTTATTATCTATAAACGTTTTATGGATATTCTTTATATTAACCATCACAGACATAGTAGAATTAATCTACTTTATAGAACGCACCTTTTAATTTTTTTTCAGATGCCATAAGTGATGACAGAATGATGTATATGTTTGTGTGTCTCAAAACAATTTTATTTCAATTTACAGCAAAATTTCAGAATACACTCAATCCTATTTTCCAAGGCTTTGTGCCCTTGGGAGAATCTGAATAGGTATACCCTGAAGGAAAATGTTTATTTAATTTGTATAGCTATTTTTGCTCTGGCTCCAGTCCCTTTCTTATTTTGGCCCTTTCTACTGTTTTCCCAATGATAGGTTTATTATTTGCCTACCTATAGCCCTGGGCACAAAAAGTTTGCCCCGTCACTTAGCTAGGATTAAATAAAGCTAAGTGGGATGGGTATATTATTTTGCACCATTGATACTGTTTCTGAAGTTCTGAGTGAAAGCTGATCAGTTTTCATAAGTTAAACAAGCACATTATTTTATAGGAATTACCATTAGCAACCTTGCAGTCTCATAGGCAGAACTGTTCTTGGTTCGGAGGACTCAGGATTTTTCTCCCATGCCCTCCAGATGTGTTTGCACTATTGGATATGTTGAATTATTTGTCCCATTACTCCCAGCCAGCATTGTCTTTGGCCATTCAAACTGGGATTCAGGGGCTGTATTCTACCATACACGGAGGTTAAGGAAAGATGTTACTCAGCTTTCAAAACTGTGGGCTAGATTCAATAGTAATTCTATTACTTTTATCAGGATTGATATTTGAAGATATAATGGGAGCCATTGCTGAATCATTAAAAATTATGTCTTGAATTCATATTCTCCATATATTGTTTTATTTCATAAAACTGAGACACAGGAAAATCTGAAAATTCGTATCTTCCATAGGGACCAATGATAAGGTATGCTTCCAGTGTTACAAATAACATTTAACAAGAATTAACTCCATACAGTCCTTTTATGTACCTAATGAAAGCAATTTTCAAGTTTTATTTCTATTAGACAATTCACCTCTAGCTGTCCTTTCCCACAAAATAGCAATTTTGCAAGGCAATAATCTAAAAGAGAAATATTAGCCCTTCATTCACCTATCATTTTTATAGTAATTTTCCCCTCATCCTGGCAACTGCTTTTCCTTGCAAGATTACTTTGCAGGCATTTGTTTGGAATGCCTTAGTTGAGGAAAACATTTAAAGACGTTTTGGAAGAGAGAAAAAGATAGAAAAGAATTAATCCGGTCTTTCCTGATTTTAGGTCCTTCAGATACACTCAGTCGACAGTTCTTAGATAATTGAACAAGCAAGGCCATTAGCTAGGCTACCCGGGAATTCTGGTTAATAAAGCTAGATTAATCACATATGTACTTTTATTGCTACTGTGCAACATTTTTTTTTTCAAGTTGATGTTTTGGTTTGAATGTTTTAAAAAGACCCTAGGATTGAGATACATGCATTCGCTTGCAATGCCTAGTTCTGTGTTTGTTCTCTTCTCTTTAAGGAAATAGCTACCTTATGAAAGCTGTGAAATTTATATCACTTCCTTAATGCTATCTTTGGGAGCTACAATTCCCAGAATGCTTCATTGATTCATTAAAGAGTTTGCCAGCCATAAGGCTCAGTAAAATGTCCCCAAATACACATTTCTGGCTGATACCACCATTAAAAAATGGTAGAAGTGCCAAGAACATACGTTTCTCATTTCCAGCCATCTAGAAAGAAATAAATCATATTAAATGAGTTCTGAAACAAAAAGCTGAAATCATACTCATTTCAATGAAAATTGTAATAAGGATTCAACTTAAACCTATTAAACCTATCACAATACTCTATTACTATTACAATACTCTATTATATACTGATTTTATTACTACTATTAATCCTGCTGTACCTTTTATGAAAAATAGTTTATTCAATTCCAAGTGTTGATTATAATTATACTTCAGAAAATGTTTATCAGTATCTGTAACATGTATGTAATTTCACTGTGTAAATCAGTGAGATATGTAGTTTTATTTTATTTCTATGCTTTGTCAATATTCAGTGGATTTTTCTGGTCTACTGAAGTTATTAAAACAAAATGTTCTTTTTGCTAATAGCACTGTAGGGACAAAAGAACAGATACAGAAGAGAGATGAAAAGTGTTTGGCAGCTCTGTGTGGGAGGAACAGGAACAGTATAAAATCCTGTTAAAATCCAGTATAAAGTTGATTTCAATGGGATTAAGAGCACTTTGTAGGAAAATAATTATGTCTACATAATAATATTGATTTCATTTCAAGATTCATGATGCATTTTAATGCAAAAAACAGCTTATAGTTAGAAGCTATTTGGAATAAGAAGGTGCTTTGAGCATTTTGTTAAATTGTTTTAGTATTGACAAACATACAGTATTCACAGACATCTCATGAGCTGAAAAACATAAAAAGAACAAAAGTATTTTGTGTATTTTTAATTTTTTCCACAAATCAAAACCAAAATATGCATGACAGAATTACCAGTTTAAATAAATATAATTTTATTTACCTTGCTTTCTGTCACTTTAATCTTATCTTGTTTGTATTATCTGGGGGCATCATCAGGAAGTTTGATGGATGAATATAGCTATATTGGTTAAAACCTACAATTCACTGATTCATTTTCAAAAATAAACTATCATTCTGACATTTTACATATTGCCTCATTTTAATCATTCACTTTGAAAGAACATTGTATCACCAGGTACAGGTAGTCCTCGCTTAATAACTATTTGTTTAATGACAGTTCAAAGTTATGATGGCCTTGGAAAAAGTGCTTTATGACCTGTACTCACTTAAGACCATCACAAACCATTGCATCACACCCCTGAGGTCATGTGATCATGATTTGCTATCTTTTTTACAATGGCCATTAGGTGAATCACTATGGTTGCTAAGTGAATCGCATGGTTGTTAAGTGAATCACATGGTTATTAAGTAAATTCTGGCAAAAAATATCCATTGGGGAAGCTGGATTCACTTAATGACCATGTGATTTGCTTAACAACCACGTGATTTGCTTAACAACCATTGTAAAAATGGTTGTAAAATTGGGTCTGCTCACATGGTGACCTGCTTAATGTCCACACTGCTTAATGCCCAATTTTCCAGCCTACCTGTACTCTCATTAAGACATGTGCATTCAAGAGGATCTTTCTCCTTGTTCCAAATTAACATCTAAAATTTTAATATATTGGGAAAAGACTCTTTATATTCTCTCTGCTTTACTCTGGTCATCATTTTAAATAACAGTAACACTACATGAGATATTTAAAATAGCTTATGGAGCCCTCTCCCCACTCAGTGTAATTCCTCTTTTACAGTGCTTCTTTTGATAATTTCTATCTCGTGGGAGGAATAATTTGCTAGCTTCTTCAGATGTTATATTATACTCATTCTTTGCTGTCCAAAATACACTACAGGATATTCTGGATATGTATTTTTCTTTTTTCTCTTTGGTCATATATTCTGTAGGCAATCAGGAATTGGGTACACAGTTCTTAGGATTTGCGTGTCCGTTAGGTGATGGTTGGCAGAGTGCTATGTTAAAATAGCAAGACTGAATAAGAAATGCATAAGAAAAGAATTAAACATTGTAGTGAAAGAGATGGATGAGTCCAGGACATGAAAACTGATGGCAACATCTCTTTGTTAATTCAAGCTTTCTTTCAATGCACACATGCACTAACACACATAAACATACATTAAACATGTAGTACATCTCTATAATACTGAATGACTCTATGTATCACTATATGGAAACATAGGATCATAGACTTGAATTGACTGTTCAATTCATTTGAACCGTTAAGCCATTAAGTCTATCTTTTTTTAGTGCAAGGTCAAAACTATTGTGTTAATGGCAACAGAATAGTTTAGGCTGTACTAGTGAGTTAAATAATAGGTAAATCAACCCTTTGGTAGACCTGTTGCTCCAGAAATATAGCATTAACTGGTGTATATACTTTGGCATTTATTAAGCAATTAACAGACAGCTATAGTTTGGAAACAATGAGTTGATATAGAAAAGAGAGAGAGGAAATCATGACTAGTCACTCTAGAAACATCCCATTTTTTTAATGTATCCAATTCAGCCTGTGAGATACCAAAAACTGATTGCAGAGTTTCCTGCAATCACATCTACTATACTCGTATCACTTTTTTTCCTGCTTTGATTTGCCAAGATTCTAACATTATTATTGTTAATCTTCTATAGTGAGTTGGTCTCAGCACTGAGTTTGAGATGGCTCCTTGTCTTCCCAAACACATATGCCATCCTGGTAGAGAAAGAGCAACAGCCTAGTGGTTCCTCAGGGTTTCATATTGGAATCTTCCAGCCTGTGCCTGGACATTGAACAAAATGTGCCCCATACCATGAAGCTATTCCTGTTATACATATGAAGCAATAGGAATGCAGTCTTTATTTTACTGCTCTGACAGTAGCTGAGCCATGTTTTTCACTGAGAAATATAAGGATGCTTCATATGTTCCGAAGGATTCATTCTCAGGGAGAAGGAAAGAATTAGTGACAGGCAAGCTCAGTCAATCTTGTTTCAAGCAATAGGGTTGTTTTTTTTTTCCTGGCCATAGTCTGTCGCCTTGGCTCTGATCATTCTCTCTCTCTACTTCCTCAGTGCTCTGTTCTTATTCTTTTCTTTCTCATCCTTTTTGGGACACTGAAGGAGGCAACCTCAGACATGACATGACCTTCAACTGCCGAACCTCAAAGAAAAGGGATAGGGTAGTCAAAACAATGTAAATTGCAGTTTTAATATATTTCATGTAACAATTTTGTTTGCCTTACTCATAGAATAATAGAATGTGATATTTGTGCATAGGATGCTCAGATGGCATCTACTAGAGTTGCAAGGTCTGTGAGATTTGTTAGTCATAATTCATTAGACATAATAGTTGCACTCTGTAATTTATGAACTTAGTTATCACCCTATGTTCAGTCTGTGTCAGTTTGTGCTTTACATAACTGTTTCTGTTTTTATAATAATAGTAGTGATCTGTTTCTGACAATAACTGGGATTAGTTATACAAGCACCGCGTGACAAAGCAGAATACCTCATTAGCAAGTTAGCATTGCAGGGATTATAAAAGTATTGCCAGCTACTAGAAGTGTTTTATTCATATTTTATTTAAAATATGTTAATTACAATCAGACTATTTTATGGTACCGGTTTAGGAATTCATAATTACAATGAATTGATCAAGGTCTTAGATATATACTATTAGTATCATAATGTACTAGTGCTTATGTAATATTTTATTTGCTTTTTCATCAAGAAAGATGAGGTAAAAAAAGATAATTGCTGTAAGTGGTGAAGAGACAAGGAGATTTAGCCTGAATTAAATATGGACTTTTTTGTACATATTTATTCGATTCTTGTATTGATAACTTGTAATAAGCATTTTGTCAAAATTATAGGACCAAGGGACTTTAAGTTTATGCAGGACTACATAGAATCAGCTGAAGTAGAGAACATGGTGCAGAGATTCTGGTGCTCTCATGAGGGATTTGAGAATTGGACTTAATATTACAACAGCCAGATAATGACTTCATAACCATGGTTCCAACAGCTTGGGACTCATTCATTTGCAACGCTCATTTCAGAATGTCCTGTTTCAGTTTCAGATTGTGATCGTGAAAATAGTCTAGCACTCCAAAGACAATGCCCCAGTTACATCAACTGACTCAAATTGACAGCCATGTCATAAAGCTGCAACAGTTCAAAATACATTAGCAAAATGTTGTCTGTATTCTGAGGTAACCGGTTGTGCAGTGGATTGTCTCATGTAATCCTCTGAGCATTTGAATAAGATGTTAAGTGACTGCATGAAGGTCCTAGTACTGAATGTACTGCATTCTAGAGAAGATCAAAATTAATCTGTTCCTTTTAAGTAATGATGTAGATGAAAACCAAAAGCAATATAGCAACCAGCTTAAACTGAGTTAGATCATTCAGCAATTGGGCTTTCTACTGGCTACACTGACTGCCAGTGGCTTTCAGTTTCAGATGGGAATTTTCCCTAGCTCTCCCTAAAGATGCAGGTATTTTGCCTTTACAGGAATAGTATGGATAGGGTGCTTTCAAGGATAATTTCTGCGACATGTTTCTCCTCTGGGGAGGTACAGGTAGAGAAAGCATAACTAGTTGGATATGGAAAGCAATCAATGCCTCTTTGCAGGAGAGGCTGTTTTAAATCTTGTAGTTCTTGATAACTATTGTCTGATCTCCAGCCTCTCCTTTTGGGGGAAGGTTGTTGAGAGATTGGTGGGGAGTCAGCTTCAAAGCAATCTACATTTGCTTTGGATTATCTGGACCTTTTTTTGGTCAGGATTTAATTCTGGGCATTGTAACAGTAGTAGTGATACTACTTTGTCAGATAACTACTGATTACTTTTGTTGGGACCAGTATTGGACTAGTGTACTCCTTTGGGTCCTATAAGATTTCTTGGTGGCCCTTGGAGTATCACTCGTGATATCCTTTTGGACTTGAGAGTTGGAAATTGAGGCACTGTTCTTCAGAGGTTCTGTTCTTATCTTAGTGACCATTGCAATTGGTAGTAGTGAGGGAGGAGAAGTCAGCTTAGTGGCCTTTCTAAGGCAGTGTGGCTCAGAGTTCAGTCCTCTCCATCCTGCTTTTAAACATCTGCATGAAGCTTCCAGGGAAGTCATTTGCCTGTTTAGGATATATCACTAGTATATAGATAATCCACAATTGAATATTGCCACTCCAGGCCCATCTGGGGATGTTGAGTTTTTTTCTAGTATTTCTCTACCAGTGCCAAATGAGTCTCTCAAAGGGGAGGCATTACCTCTGAGAAACCAGATCCATGATTTGGGAGTTATCTTGAACTCATGGCTACTACTGGATGGGCAGATGGCTAGGAAGCTGTGGCTAGGAAGACCATTGCCCAGCTCAGCTGGTGCATCAATTGCAATTGTACGTGGAGTGGTAGGACCTTATAGCAGTGAGCCACACCCTTATCACTACTCATATGACAAGGGACTGCCCTTGAAAACTAAACAAGAATGCAATATGTATTTTTTTGTGGCATTCATTACTGTGAGCACATTACACCTGTGCTCCAAGCCCTGAACTGGTTACCAGTAGGCTTCCAAGGGCAATTATATGAAACCTTTTATGGTTTGGTGCCTAGATACTTATATGGCCACCTTCCCCATCTGCAATCACCACCTCCCCAATAAGAGAATCCCAGGTGAATCTCTTTTTGGTTCCCCCTTTTGTGAGGTGAAGGGAGCAGAAGGCATACAGGTGCTGCTTCTTAGTTATGTTGCCTATTTTGAACAATCTTCCACTTGAAGGTTGGTTAGACCCCCACATTGGCGGTCTTCCATAAACAGGTTAAGACAAAGTGTTTCTAGAGGATATTTGGGATCAACTGAGTAATGCCATCTATTGTTTTGGTTATGGATATCGTTTTATTCTATTTTTATTAATAATATATTGATATTTACCATTGACATTTTAATTTGTATTGGTTTTCTGTAAATAGTTGTGAAATGCACACTATTGTGAGTCTGTTCTGAATTTGACTATATACAGATCTGGTAAATAACAATCGTATATGCATTATTGGCTTCCATGAGAGAAGCAGCTTTACTTCTTCCATCCCCAGCACACAGGAGAAACAAACAGTTCAATTGCATTTAGGTATTGATTCACTGTATTATTTCCTCCTTCCAATAGCTTAGAAACTATTCTTCCCCAAACTGATGATATCTATTCCAAAAAGAACCACTAATGCAAACAACTGGATGTAGTTAAGGAGCTGCGCCATCCCTGCACAGAAATATTAGAGGTCCAAATGATTAATGGTCATGACTTTATTTTTTTTAAAAAATGAATAGGTTGCATAGGTTGCAGGATTACCCTTATATACTATACATACAAACTTTAGATTATTTAAATAAGTTTAAGTCAATACTGAATTTTTCTGTATCACCAGGGCTGTCAACATTACAGGCTGTACTGGACACTGCAGCTGAAAAGAAATGGCAAGTGACTGCTATAAATGTGGGGAATATTAACAACGATAGAAAAGATGAAACATATCGCTCATTGTTTCAAGATTTGGAGATAAAAAAGGAAAGACGAGTAATTCTGGACTGTGAACGGGATAAAGTCAATGACATTGTAGATCAGGTTTGCTACTCTTTCTTTTTCAATATCTATCTGTGTAAGCAACTGTGAAATTATTGTCAATAATCACCATTATTTATGTGCTTATTTAGCAGCCTTGGCAAACAGATTACAATTATGATATTTATTATTATCAGTTCTCTACTTAAGCGCTAACAAGAATATACTAACTGTGCTGCTGCATTGCAAGACTAGCCGTACTATTGTTCAGAGTGATGATGCAATGTTGGACAAGTAATTGGGCAGCAAACTGTCCAGGGGGAGAGAAAACACTCCTAGAATTTTCTCTCTGGGTGTCAGATTAATTTGTCTGGCTTTGGATATTAATATGCCTTGATTGGTACACCATTATTTGGAGTGCCATCATTACAGGTAGTCCTCGTTTAGCAACTGCTTCGGATAGCGAACATTTGTAAATACGACAGTTGTAAACAAATCATTTTCCAACCAATGCACACACTTAGACCCACATTTCTGCGCCTGACAACAATGCATGCTGGAGAGGAACACTGGTGTTGCTGTACGAGAGAACTTTATTTGAATGAGACAGCAGCAGCCAGCAATCTTCACGTCTCTCCCTCTCTCGCAGTCACATGGTTTGCTTAGCAACTATGTCACTTAGCGACCATTTCACCAGAACCAATTGCAGTTGCTAAACGAGGGTTACCTGTATTTGCTATTTGATGATAGGTCATCCCTGATGCATCGAACAGAAATCTACCTGGTAAAAGAGGTAATGCAAAAGTGTTGCATTAATGGCAGTTTGGATCTAGAGTGTGCCTCGTACAAATGGATGGCATTTCTGTTTGCACATAAAATGCACATTTTTTAATTCAAATTTATTAGCTGCCCAATTCCAATCAACTCTGGGCAGCAATAGGAAATACAGAGGGAGGGGAATTTTCAGGGTTCCATAGATTCCCAACTACACCTACAGCTTTAGCTCCATTGTGCTTTAGGTGTCCATAAAATAAATATTTTCAGAGATATATAGAAATGACTGGCCTTTGTGTTGTGTTTGAATAGTAGTATATATGTAAGTCCAGCAACCAGATGTTTCAGTGTTACTTGGTCACCTAATAGACAGCTGTGCCATCCTCCATAGTTCTATAAAGTAGGCTCAGTTAGTCATGGGATCTAATGGTTGTCTCACCATTCAACATAGGGGGAAGGGGCAGATATATTTTATTTATTTATTCAAATTTGTTGTAGCTGCCCAACTCTAGTGGATTCTGTGCAGTGTACAAAACCAAAAAACTGTAAAAACAATTAAAGCATAAAACCACAGATAGCCTGGACTAAAACAGTCTTAAAGGAAACATACCCAAAGGCAATAGGGTGATCCTGTTGCTGGTCTAAAATCCTGTAACTGGTCTAAAATATTGCCATCACGTTGTTCAATAGGAGGAGAAAGAATCTTGCTAGTCTATTGCTGACAAGCTTTAAGAGTGTCAGAACTTCTGAAAATGAATATAAAAGTGAAATATTTTAGAGCTATTAAGCTGTTGGACTGAAAACAATTTTCATGACATTTAAAAATAAAATCCATATTTTTAATTTACAGTGAATTCATCATACCATATTGTCAGGTATTTTTTCAATATAATCACTCAGTTATTGTATTTTATTAAATGTGTTTCATTTTCTCTGTACCTTTTCCCCAAGCCAATCAGTTATTTGATTCACTTCTAGGTTATTACAATTGGTAAACATGTAAAGGGATATCACTACATCATTGCAAATTTGGTAAGTTAGTTTAATACTTGCCCGAACATGTAATATTTCCAAGAATAAAGTATATTTTATGTATGGTTTTGCATGTAATATTTAATTAAAGGTCTGTAGTTTTCTGAAAAAAATTATTCCTGGTTTTTGCATTATTTATATAAAATTATCACCCTTTTTCCTGCCAAAAAATGCATTTGCCGGCTCTGATTATATATCCTCCCACCTCTGATCATTATAACCACACTTAGCTGCCACTGTACCCCTATATTGTTACTATCCTCTATATGATTACCATATATGAGGAAAGAGGGAACAAATCAATTTTCTGTTGGCCTCAACTATGACATATACACATTAAGTGTTATGTCTGGAAAGAGGTGTATATATTTAGCTGTTCTGTAAGTTGGCAGTTTGTATTTCCAACTGTATGATAAAATGTGTTGACGATATGAACCTTCTCAAAGTAATCCTAAAAACTTTATTTCAAATTAAATAGAACTTCTATGTAAAAATTTAAATTATGGTGTACAGGAAAGAAAAAAGCACTGAAACATCTTTTGAAGAAATTTGATCATACTGTATTTAGAGTCATGATCTTCCTTTTTGTCTCTTCTAATATAAACAACAGAGCAGAAACATTTATTTAAATACTAAACATGCTTTATATATAAACTGTGATTAGTTTAAATTGTGGCTAATAAGCCAGGGCAAAGAATGGCAGAATGTTAATGAATATACTATTTATTGTCAATTTATTTTAGATAAAGCAGTGGATTGTGGTTAAAGAGAATAGCCTTGCACTGCATTGCAATAAGTCCTCACTTGCTCTTTTCTTTCCAGTGCATTTGAGTCGATCCCTCCTTTCAGAAACCTTTTGGGATTCTCTAGACACTATCGGATCCTTCAGCCTAAATCTAGAAACATGGATTATTAAAACGATGGACTAAAATAATAAATATTTATTTGCGGAAAAAATTGTTTTATATTTTAGGAGTAAAAAAATTAGTGAAAATAAGTAACCACAACGACTGTCAAAATGACAGCCTGTGCATCATGATGTCACAGTGCAAATTCTATCCTTTCATACCGGCATCATGACTTCATACTCAAGTACATAATGGGTGGAGTTTGCGTGACAATGTTGCAGTGCACTGTCATTTGCTCCTCTCCTTGCCCTCCTTCTGTGAACACCAATTTTGGGGGCTTGTAAAGTATATCAGGTTGCTTATCTGACAAAAGTTTTTAAAAACATGAAATATTCTCATCCACAAGGAAGAGATAAAATTAATTCATATACAGTATACTAATATGTAAACATATGTGTGTGTACTTGTAACAAAGCAGATGGAAGAGCTGGGGTCTAACTTTGAAATTTTAGGGTATTCGGTCTATGTCATTTTTTTTTAGATTTTTTTTATCCTGCCTTTATTATTTTTATAAATAACTCAAGGCAGCGAACATCCCTAATACTCCTTCCTCCTCCTATTTTCCCCACAACAACAACCCTGTGAAGTGAATTGGGCTGAGAGAGAATGACTGGTCCAAAGTCACCCAGCCAGCTTTCATGCCTAAGGTGGGACTAGAGCTCACAGTCTTCTGGTTTCTGGGCTGGTGCCTTAACCACTAGACCAAATTGGTTCTTCCAAATGTCATTTGGAAGTTCTACATCCCATATACACTGTCTAAAAATCTTTCTAACTCATAGATTGTAGGAACTGTGGTGAAAGTGTATGACAGAAGTGTCCTTAGAATATTTATCTCTTGTGTTCTCTGTTTATTTATTCAAATTTGTTATAGATGCCCAACTCCTATGGACTCTGGGCACGTACAAAACCAAAAAATCCATAAAAACAGATAAAATATAGAACTCTGTTGTGCAACTGAAATGTATATTTTCCATGCCTAGGGATTTACTGATGGAGACTTATCAAAAATACAGTTTGGAGGGGCTAATGTGTCAGGATTTCAAATAGTGGACTATGATGATCCTTTGGTATCAAAATTTATACAGCGTTGGTCAACACTGGAAGAAAAAGAATATCCTGGAGCTCACACTAGCACAATTAAGGTAGATAATTTTCCTTTTATATCTGGAATAGAGTATACTGATGGTTGTTCACATAGAAATGAATTCTAGAGAGCTGTTAAACAAAATCATATTGCTCTGAAGACCTAATAATGTTATTATTGTGCATTGTCGTGCACAATATCCCAATATGTGAAATACTCAGTTGGCATATTTGAAGGATAAAAATAGTTCAGTAACTTCTTGTTGCAGAAAATAAAGTTCTGCAAAATAAAAACAATAACATATACACATGATAATCACAGATGAATGTGTTATCTTTCCTGCTAATACTTGAATGCAGGTTCATTGGTTTCTGAAATAAGGAATTTATTTCTTCCCAAACAGGTGATTGATTCTGAATTTGCTAATTCATGCTCAGCTTTAGAAAACTGGGAAAGAAAGAACTGCACTAAGAGTAATTTACAGGTTTGTAAAATAAGGAAAGCTAGGCCAGAATATGCCATAGAAGTAATTAAAATTAAAGGATGGCAAAATATGGCACAAAGGACTGAATGATTAAAAGGCAAAAGGAAAAGAGTCAGTCTGTGATATCACAATGATAAAATCTTGGTTAATCAGTTTTACCCAGATGTTGTTTTGAACTGTGTGATTTTGCATATTTTCATGATAGCATTATTTTACTTCATACCACTGGTACTCTGCTATGTAACTTTGCTAGTAGTTTAAAAACAGGAGATTATAGTCAACCATAGGAACAATATTTTTTAAAAAATGCACATGACTGCAAGAAATTATTAAACTGCCACCTGAAAATACATCTCTTAAATTTTATATAGCATCAGTGAGACACCTTTACTTATAGAAGTTATTGTCCAAATTTTGTCAAACAGGGAGATATACTATTACTAAGACTTCAAAAGTCTGAAGTTATTACACATCTTCTAAAATGTTGGAATAAACATATGTGGTGTAAATTTTTCAAAGACTCATGCCAGCTGTTATAGACTTCAAGACATGAAATATAGATTGTGACTTTCTACTGGGCTGCGGTAGCCTTATATTCCAGTCTTAAACTTTTTGGAAAATAAGAGATAAAGCAGCAAAAGTGGGTGTCATCTCTTTGAACAGTATGAATGTCAAAGGATTTACAAAATGCTGCTCTGTTAGAAAAGCTTATGGGCCATTGAAAGGGGGGCCTGCACCTCTTTTCTGCAGAGGGAAGTCTCATGATCCAAGGGGGAAAAAATGCAGCTTCTTTAAAGGTTTGAGGATACCTTTTATGTTCATGCTGCTAGGCACTCAGAAGTATCCTTTTAGAACTGAATCTGAAGCTCTGTACAGGCTTACTATGAGATATGTAAGGTAGCATTTTTGTCACTGTGATGTTTTTAAAAAAAAATTAAAAGAATATTATAAGTGAATCGTCAGTTGCTTCAGCATCTTCTTTGGAAATAGGTTAACAAAGTGTCAGAGAGAGGCGGCATCAGACTTTTGCTCCTTTGCCCTTCTATGAACTTTCCTTTGTCTTATACAAGGATAAGAAATAGTCACCTTGAACAGCTGTTGTGCTCAGCTCTGGAAACGTGCAAACAAGAGCTCTCTTTATTTATTTATTGTACCTTGTGCCTCATTGCAATCCAGCAACTCTTGGGAGTTTACTGGATATACAGTACATTTTCAACATCCATGGACGTTGAAAATTAGCAGTAAACTTGGTGATGTGATTTCCTAATGATTTTCCAGGTGAAACAAATCAGATGTTCTCACCCTTTAGATAAATGTAGCATATCTTATTATAAATAATAATTATAATTATTAAAATAAAACATAGTTGTATTTTAATTAACATTTATTTGTTGTTTTTATTGTAAACCATCCAGAGTCACTTCTGGATGGTTTACAATATTTATATTTCAAATTTGAAATATAAATAAAATAAATATCTGAAATTGCCTCAGATAAAAAATGGAAAAAAATTAGATCCATCTAGTTGACATCCTTGCTCTACTTTCTACTACTCCCAGCATCTGAAAAAGCAAAATAATAAAAGCATGGTCCCACATTTCTACCAAATGTTCATTCCTAAGTAGCCACAGCTGAGGAACAGAACAATCAGACATACTTGGGTCCAAAAATTATGCTAATAAAAAAAGAAGGAAGGATATGAAACTGGGAGATTGGGAAGAGAGGATAGGAAATATGTATGAGAGTTAAAATAGGACCCAGCAGTTCCCTGGGCAGATGTAAACAGCAACCACTTGATATATCTTGAAAGGAGATCTTACAGACACCATGAACCATGTATCTGCCCTTGTGGTGTTGGTCAAGTGGAGGACATTATTCATTATGTCCTCCACTGCCCCATTTACAATGAGATTAGGGCCAAATTATTGATGGTAGGTGAACTGAAGGACCCAGACCTCGAACAGTTAAACCATCTTCTTGCAGATGTGTTTCCAACTGTTATCAGTCAGGGTGCTCCATTTGCTCTGCTGTCACTTAAACTTAGAAAGAAGTATTTAAGTTCTTAGTTGTAGATGTGTGATGGAATGGAATTATGAAGGCCACACTCAGGGGGGGAAACATCCTCTTTTGTCTCCTGAGGGGCGAGGAAGAGATAAGAGGATGAGGCTGGCACCTCCCTGAGGAATTCTCTCTGTTTACATCTGCCCAGGGAACTGCTGGGTCCTATTTTAACTCTCATACATATTTCCTATCCT